AAGTTTATAATGGTCTTTATTATCCATGAATGAGTGAGATCATGTGCTATTTATCTTTCTCCGACTGGCTTATTTCACTTAGCATAATGCTCTCCAGGTCCATCCATGCTGTTGCAAATGGTAGGCGTTCCTTCTTTTTTACAGCAGCGTAGTATTCCATTGTAAAAACATATTTTTTTAAAAGGCCTCTCAGACCTCAGTAAAGTCTTTCACTCACCACACTGTCTAGCCCAAGGGTGGGCAAACTTTTTGACTCGAGGGCCACAATGGGTTCTTAAACTGGACCGGAGGGCCGGAACAAAAGCATGGATGGAGTGTTTGTGTGAACTAATATAAATTCAAAGTAAACATCATTACATAAAAGGGTACGGTCTTTTTTTTTTTTAGTTTTATTCATTTCAAACGGGCCGGATCCGGCCCGCGGGCCGTAGTTTGCCCACGGCTGGTCTAGCCTGTGTATCATTCTGGTGTCGCAGCCTCCCTTTGGACTTGTTCTCAGTCTGTCTCTACAGAGGCGGGGTGAGGATTCTTTTCTTCTCGGGCACCTGCTTGTAGACAAGCTAAAATTACAGGGCTTTCTTTGGTGTCAGAAGTTTAGTGCTGCCTGTGGCCCTGAGCCCATGTGTAACGGTAGCTAGTTTCCTTTCTACCCATACAACCTTCTCTTAGAGTTCTCTGCATTTGCTGATTATGTGTGGCTTAAGTTTGGGCAACATTAACAACGGGGCTTTTAAGGCCTTTGGAAAGGCCTCTGCTCTAGACTTGGAAGGAATAGGACTTAGGAATCTGACCGCCCTGTGCTAACTGGCTGGGAAATTCCTAGGTGTCAAGTGTCCCAGGAACCGTGTCTCACTACCAACAAATAGGCTGCCAGTAAATGGTGCTGATAATATCATACTAGTAAGACATGTTGAATAAATACCTGCTGAAGTTCTTCTCATTGTTTCTTTCTGATATAAAGGCTTGTGGCCTATTTTCTAAATTTTATGTTGCCGATTCTCTGAATTCTGTGATGTGGGCAATTTGGCTTTGACTTAGTCTGCTAAAACCCTAATCCTTTGACTTTCCTGACAGATTTTGTTGACTGTCAGGAGAACTTGATGATATTTGTAATGATGACAGTAATAGTCTCCTTTTATTGAGTGGCTTCTGTGTGCTCGGCACTGTATTTTATGCATTGGCAAAGCATGTAGGTCTTATTGTTTTACTAGATGCCCAGTGCACGAAATTTGTGCACAGGTAGGATCCCTAGGCCTGGTCAGTGATCAGGGATGATCTGTGGGGCGACCAGCGGGGCGATCGGGGGTCCCCACTGGC